GAACAGAGAAAAGAACTCTGAGTAAAAGTTTGGTTCCCAGCACAAAGCTGAAGCTTTATGCAGGGCTTGAGGAATAGAATTCTCCCTTCAGCCCAGAGCCAGGGCATTAGGGCGTCAACATAGCTAGTCCAAAGATGTTACTTCAGGTTAATGATCGCCCTAGAATCCACCAGCTTCCTCCTTCCTCCCCACTGCGCTTAGCTCTATGATCCACGTGGGCTGAAAAGTCCTATTGTACAGGCCATCTGCATCCTTGTAGTTCAACATCCTTATGGGCCTTATCTGACCTTCCGCCTTGTCTTCACTCGGGGGGAGAAAAAAAGGTGTGTTCTTAACTCAAGTTAACTACCAGGAAGTAAAATCCTATTGCAGATCAGGCAGTTTGTAGTTTTCACATTAGCAGGTTGAGATAAACGCCAGGTTTCCCTATAGTCTTTAACTTGACCTGCTAAGTCCTGTGAAAACTACAAACCTCCTTGTCTTCAGTAGGGTTTTACCTTGAGTGAAGAACACATCCTATCCTCCTCCCCCCCCCCCCCAACATCCTACTAACAGGATTACCAGAGAGTCATTTCCCTTTGTAAATTGTTATACAAAGCCCGTGACGTTAATGGCATTGATTAATTGAGGACCAGAAAATGATACAAAATGTAGCCCTGAATCTGTGTTTCAAATTGAGCCTCAAGCACTTTCTGTGTGTATTAAATGTCTTCCTGGAGTCACTTCCATAAGGATTTGGAATATAGAATCCCCTCTGGTATTTAGTATTTATTCTTGTTTCACTAATGGGGGCAAATAGTAACAAAACTCTTGGCCCCATTTGGATATTTTATCGGTCCAGTTCCTAGTGGATAAATGTTCTCACTGGGAGGTGGGGAGCCACTACAATTTACACTAGTTGACAGCATCACCAGGGAAACCAAGGACTGTCCCATCTTCTCATCCCCAGGGCTACACTCTCCAGGTCAAAGTTGGAGCACTTGGGTTGGGCACTGTGGGGGAATCTTGCAATACTATTTCTACTCTGGATCATTTCTGTGGATAAATGACAGGCTGGGGCTATCAGTCAGGCACCCTTCAGGAATGCTAAATCCACCCCATATTTGGACACCACAAAATCTGGACATTTTCTAAAAGTGTCTGACAGTTTTTGGTAGTGTTTCCGCACACAAGTACATATTTCCCAGTGAGTTTGAATTCTCCATCTAGGCTCTCATGGCCAGAGATCTGGCCAATGAATGGCACAGACCTGTTGAAAAGAAAGGTTTGCATGAACAATTTATATCTTTATTGAGGATTTTGCACATCAGTGAATTATTTTAGATACCCACACACTCACAAACACAACATCTCAATGGTTTCCTGGGGCTGATCATTTAAGAATGAGATACTTGCTGAAGGTGAGATTCTGCATTGTTCACTAAGCCCCCATTAATTTGTCCAAGCATGTCTTTAAAAAAAGGACCTGGTGACTAATGACCCCCAATCTGCAGGAGATGCCTGAAAAAATTCAGCCAGTTCCCTGGTCCACAGGCCCCTGCCAAGCCCCCCATCACATGAGCCCTCAGCAGTGCAGCAGCCAAACTTTTGCTAAGCAGCTTCTCAGGAATTGGAGAGCAAATGATTTGTTTACATCAAGATAATGGGGTCCATCAAACTTACTGACACCGAGACATATTAGAAGCATGCAGAAATAGTGCTTGGAAGTGATTTATCTGTGTTTCAAACCAGTCTTACAAAGCTCCTCTCACCCAAACAACTGGGAAGGAGAGAAGGTTTTTTAACACCCACTAATACAATATCATTAGTTTTTTCTATCATTATCAGCTTTTCACTACAATGGATTTTGTGCTGGGGTGGTATATTTTCATTATGCTTTTGGTAGCAGAAAATACAAAGGAGAAGACTCTTGCACGGAGTGGCAGGAAGGTGTGGAATGACAAAGAGAAAGCCACTACTGGACAAGGAGAGGGACTGGCTTCCTGACATCAGACACTCACTATACACAGCTATGTCTCCGTTTGTTTCTTTTTCCCGCCCCCCCTTCAATTTCCATCAAATCCATTAGCATAATTTTTGCCCCAGCTCTATGAGCACAATTGAACAGATAGCCTGACAGTGCCTGCTACCAATCCTAGCTCAGTATTTCAAGCCTTAAAAACCTCTGGGAATTCTGGGCCAGTAATCCTCTATCCAGAGGAATAAATGGAACCAATCCAATGTCACAGGTCAGATTGTTATATCCCAGCCAAGGAGCAGAGGTCGGTGCCTTCCAGACTGCAGTCTTGGAGGACATAGGCTCTACTGGTCAAAAGCCAGCTTCCACACTGTTTTGTTTTCAGTCTCTAGTGGGTTGGGGGAGAGAGGCAGACACTGCAGAGTGCTGACAGCCGAAGTACTTCCATATGAGGACGATGGGAAGGGCAAGGGCAGGGACGAGAAATCAGAGCTTGATTACTGTTGGAGTGCCATGGCCGCAATCTCACTCTCTCTCTGATATATCACTGCTAGCAGCTGCAACCGGGGCCCTGTCCCACAATGTACTTCCCAGTAGATTCAGATGAGCATGCTGCCCTTCTGGAGGAGTCTAGCACAAGACTCATGGGCTGCGACTATTCAGTTGTGCGCTACCCCAAATACAGGGCAGTCATTAAAAGCCTTCTGTGGAGCTCGGAGAAAAATATATGGCAGGCACTGGGGCAAAGTGGTGAAAAATGGCAGGACCAAAAAAGCATTGTTCCTAACGTCCTGTGGGAGCATCTCCTGCAAGATGCCATCTCCAGGCCTGGCTCTGGCCTCTGCAGGGAACCCAGTGCATGGAGCATTTATATGGTCAGGCCCATCCTGCATACCTGAACGGTCAGTGTTCCCTTTTGTTTCTAACTTGCTGTGTAATTGCTGGCCTCGCAGAAAAAAACCTGGCAAAGTTTGTGAGAATAAAACAAACCGTGCAGTGCTTTTAACATAGGAGAGAGAAACTTGGAGGTCTTTCGTCAACTTCCATTGAAGCCAGTTGGGCAAAAATCCCGAGAGGTGCTGACCGGCATCTCTTGTTGTCGTTGAAGACACCCGGCACATCTTGGGAAAGGGGGGATTTGCCTGAGTCAGCACTTCAAGATTTGTCCCCATGTATTTTAATAAAGAAAGCAGCAGAACAGAGTCCTTATGGTTTAAGAGTGTGAGTTACTCCTTTGTGGTATCAGGATCAGCAGAGGCCTTGAAAAGGTAGTGGCAGAATCTAGCAAACAATAGGATCAAACACAGAAAGACAGCACCAGTCTCGCTTATTGTTCTGACAGAACCAGCCACCTGTTTAATTAAAGCTGCCAGTCCTCAATTTCCTGAAGCCAAGCCTGGAAGCCTATTAGAGATGACCTACTTGACTGCCTGCAGAACCTTATTTAATACTCATGTCAAGCAATGGCTCCAAGCACAGTTTGGAAAGTTTTGCAAATCAGCCATTAAGGGCTTAGATTTCTGTGAAACGTCACTGCGTGGGCTTTGGCACTATGAATGATTCCCCTCCTCTCCTGACACGGCAAAGGAACTTTTAACCTGTTAACTTTAATTAAAACCGCTGCACTTTAGGGTATATAAATACAAATCACTCGTGATGGCGTGCTGGGGTCGGGGGGAGTTACTGTTTCATGGAAAACTGAAGTAGTGATTTTTTGTTGATGGGTAAAACAAAACAGTCATTCAGAAACAGTGCAGAACTGTTGCCACAACCCTGGGTCTCTCTTTCTCTTACACACACAAACACAACATTAAACCCTATTTTGTTTGCGGATGGGGTGGGGTGGGAAATGTCCAATTCCTTTCACATCACATCTCCCCAGCCATTCACTGACAACGTTGTTTTAACGTCGCTGAGAGGAAATGGCGTGAATGTTTACAGAATAAAATTGAAATGTTTCAAGGAAAGAAAAAAGAAAATGAGGAAATAAATTAATGGAACCCCCCCGAACTGTCTAAAAAACCCAGTAATTAAATTACAGAAACTGCTTCCAGCCCGGGGGCGGGGGGTAAAAAAAAAATCCATGATTAAAAACCAGGAGAGAGCCATGGTAATTTATCTTTTCAGATGGCAAAGTAAAGGAGGGGTGGGGAAGTGCAGCTCGTGGATAAATAAAAGTTCATGTTTAATGTTTTCATAAGTACAGGGCTGTTTCTTTGGTTTCCAATCTAAGGTTACAGGAGATATGGGGGCCGCAAATCTTTGAAAGTATCCAAAAACCTTTTTCCTAATTACTTTTTACACAAATCACTGTCCAAATCTCCTTTCCCAAAAAGTTTACCATAGTTCCACCCATAATTGACCTGTGCTGGGTTGTTTCATGAGTGCTATCAAGCATGCCTCCAGCAGCTAAAGGCAGGAAGCACCTTGGCACACTGCTCTATTCAAGGGCAGAGTAGAGGAAGGGCAGAACCATTTTTCATTGACAGAGAAAAACAGACCAGCCCACAGTGTTAGATCAGACTGTGTGGGGAGGCCAGTTCACCTGCTTTGCTTTCAGATTTGGCCGCAAATGTAACATGGAAACCAGACTTTAACCTATAGGGGCAGCAGGTTAGGCTTATATATTCATCAAGTGCAGAGACCAGAGCAAGCTGCCTAATATAACTGTAAATAGAGCCCCTGTGCATTGATCTTAGGAGATGCAGCTTCCTTGTTTGGCTCACCCCAAACTCTTGTTGACTTCAGTGGGAATTTGAGCAAGGAATGCAGGACTGATCTGGAGACTTGGTAACAGTCTTGGTGCAGCCAAGGTCTGTGTAACCGGACAGAAATTTCAGGAGTCACAAGACCAAACAATGCTAAAAAGTTCAAGTATTTTTGAGTTTTTAATGGCAGTTTTTTATTCAGTCCCTGCAGTCTTCTGACGTAGTCAGAGCAACGTAATCAGCTGCCAAATTGCTACAAGTGGGGGTGAGCGTCCCATGTGGGGATGCTGAGGTGTGCAAACAGGTTTGACTCTCAAAAAATGGAGGGTACTCACCACCAAATAAAGCATGGTATAGAGCGAGAAGGAGGCGTGACCAGAGAAGAAGGATTTCCTGTAAGACAGAGAACACGTATGAACCAGCCATTGTAATATTAGATTGAACCTGCCTATGAATAATCAAGAGGCAAGACTGTGACCTGCCTCTTACAACAGGGGAATTAGGAGATGTAAGGTACACCCTTATTTTTTCAGTATGGGCTACCTGGCATTGTGGGTGGGGAAGCAACTTATCTGGGGCTGCTGCTCCCTCCACACCCAGTATGGTGGAGAGTGAGTGGATGAGGAGGGTATGTATCAAGCATTGGCTCCACCCCCATCCTGACACTCCAGCCAATGCAGCTGAGCATGGCAACATGATTAAGTAGACCAGTAGCAAATTATTTCCTCTACGGACCAAGAGGTGGAGAATCATGGGATTGCAGTTCCCTTCCTCGTCTGCTTTTGGGGCAGCTATGAACTGTTATATACTCAGCAGACTGGTAACTTACAAACCAGCCCAAGATATCTGGGAATTTAGGCAAACACCAATCAGGGTGCATTAAGTATAACTTGTAAAGTTCACCCAAAAAAATATCAAAATTAAATATCCAATGAACACGACATAAAGACTTTGAAAAAGACTTCCTGACGCTGTTTGTTGTCTTTACATAAAGGAAGGGCTGTTTTGCTGTGTAGATCCAAACCACTCACCTGTGATGTCAGCTCTTATGGTAAATTCCCACATTGAGCAAGCATTCATGAAACAATGTTGTGGGAGTTAATAGAAGGAAGGAGAAGTATTATTCAGCAGAGTTCAGTAACTCCTTAGGGAAATTGCCAGTCAATAGTGGTAGCTCAGTGGCAGTCTTCCCAGAGAAGGAAGTTTCCAAATGATCCACTGCTGGCAGAAGGGACCTGAGTTGTATTTTGTGGGACACCATTTTGGCAGAAACAACCGTTTTTCCCCCTATGTTGTCAAGGAAATGCCTCTCACCTGGCTTCCTGGACTCTGCTGTCATTTCCCCTACAGGTGTAGTTTTGAATGTAGCCTTTAGAGCAGTCGATTACTGAAAAGTCTGGATTACAAACTTCCAGGAAATGAGGTCGCAAGCGTCCGACAGACACTTTGGCAATGTCTGTGAAGGACTGGCTGATGGCACAGCCAAAGGCGAAACAGCCCACTTGTTTGTAGAGAGCCGCCACATATGGGTTCTGGATGAAGGACCGAGACTTCTCCTTTAAGTAGTGAATCCGGTAGAACTCCCCTGTTATGATCTGAGGGAGGAATTTTAAAAAATATATATAAATAAAAAACACATTTTGCATTAAGAGGTCACATCAGGTAAATGTGCAACCATACAGGATAATAAGATCTCAGAATAAAAGAGCATTTGTTAAGAAATAAACTACAGGGTCCTGCATTCAAGTCTTTCAGAATCCCATTAATTACTGTAGGCTTAAGGCCAGATGCATATTAACACTTCTTAGTGAGAGAATTTTTGTTTCAGACAGAAGGCGAGCATGTTTCTGAACGATACATATTTATCCGCAAATCCTGTCTTAGAAGCAGACTCAAGTTAAATAAATATTGATGGAATTCCAAGAACAACTTGCCCACCTGAAACCTATTAGATTCCATTATATCTCAGAATGCAACACGGGGTTAAAAAAAATGCTTTTCTTTATTGCCAGGAGCATTGTAAAATGGCACTTACCAGTCTCTCTCTTTCTCTCCTCTGTCAGCCTGCAGGTAACAGTGACATGCCCAGAGACATGAAGAAACTGGTTTAACCTCTTTTGTTTGTAGATTCTAGCTATCCCATATTACCGTGTCAACAAAAGCCGTCAGTCAGACCTAAAAAGGTCATATTGGCGATTGGACACTTGCTTCATGGACGTAGCAAGATACACAGTGCAGTTGTGGCCCAAATCAACAGCAAATGATTCCAAAAGGTGAATACTTCCTAAGAAGTGCTCACTTGGCCTGAGTCAGCCACCTGAGCAAGAGAGAGAGAGAGAGCCCTAGGAATGCCACGGTTCTTACTATAACAAAACCACAGTGCATTTTCACCTTTTTTTTTCCCGGGGGGCAGGGAAGGGGTGAGAGAGACATTCCCCACTCCTTTCACTATGTTCTTGATGCATAAAGCAAGCAGTCCATCCACAACAGGAAAGTAAATAACAGACCAGTATGTCAGTACAGTACACTCCGTTTCAGAAATCTCCAGCCATTTTGTTTTCTTCACACATGGATAAAGCTGAACTTGATCAAACCAGAGATCCCTTAAGTTCCAGAGAAACCTTTGTAACTGGATGATGTTCATGGAATCATAGATATCAGAGACAAAAAACACCTGCTAGGTGTTAATGCTAGTGCAAATTGTTTCCTCATTATATTTTGTATAATTTACAATGGTTTGCTTTGTTCTGAATATCTCAAGTAATGGGGCTTCCACCATGTCAAGTGGGAGAGCATTCTGCCACCTGCAGGAGCTCACCGTTTGGAATTCTCTTCTCCGACACATCCTAAATTCTCCATTTATACTTTCCAGAAATCAAGACCAACTTTTTTTTTTAAAAACGTAAGGAAAAATTCTAAGGCCAAGCTAAAGTTATTGGATCAAATTCTGCTCTCGGGTACGTTGGTGTAAAGCCGCAATAACTGCATTGACTTCAAATGCTCCAGCTCCCCCAGATTTATACCAGTGTAACTGAGATCAGAATTCAATTACAACCTAATAACAGAGACAAAAGAATCAAGGTTCTTTGAGGTGCAAAGTTACTATATTAAATTCCATATAGAAAAAAAAAGTTTAACATTTCAGAGGTGGGGTTTTTTTTTAGTTATTTTTCATAGCTTTAAAAAAAAATGAACACAAAGAATCAGATTCTGAGATACTCAAAGTATTTAGAATCTGGCCCAAAATTTGCAGTGGCCAGACTCAATTTAAATCATATAAACTTCCATAAACACAGGACTTTCCTGGGCATTCCAATGGTCCTTGTAGTTATTAAGCAGCAAATTATGTATTTCTTGTGCCACGTGGGGGGGAGTGTTGTGGATTTGACAATGTTGTCATAAATCATAGTTATGAACCTGAGGACCTGAGTACCTGGCTTCTTGTAATCCTAACTCTTAAAAGGCAATTTAATGAAAATCAGGCCATGAAATGAAGTCCAAATGTCTCACCTCTCCAAAAGAGGCAAAGGCTTAAATTGTTCTGTCACGTTACACCCTAGTTTTTGAGCTCCAGATTTATAGCTTTAGGATTTTATTCATTACTTTCAATGTTTTTATACCTGAGTAATAAAATGAGGTGGGTTTTTTTTCTCCTTCACTCCCCTTTCTGTTCCAGTCAGCAGCATTGTGATATGTAAATTTAGCTGTCAGGAAAAATGCCTTCTTGCTAATCCCTTTCTGAAACAGCTAGCAATATTCTTCACAGCATGGCAGCCTGCCAACTCCATGCAGAAGAGAATTCTTCCCTACCTACCTTTTTAAAAACTTGGCACAACATTTGGAAACTAATAAACTGGAAAAGTATTGCAATTAGACTAAGAGGAGATGAAACTGTATCATGGTTTGAACTCTTGAGTACCAGGGCTTGAAAAACAAAGGTTGACCTAAAGTAACTGAAATAAGAGCTATGCAGGCTTTATCAAAGAGAAGTAAAAAAAAACCCCAAATGCTGCAAGCAGGCACTTATACTTCCATACTTCTTGGAGAAAGACATCGGGGTCATTGACCTGCCACGAAGGGTTTACAAACCACAGTCACATTTTACAAAAGACTATTAGTATCGAGCTCCCTATGGGCTTGACTGAGGTTGTCTAGGGTCTTGCAGCTGACCTGTTCCAGAGTCATTTGTAATCCCTTAAGAATCCAAGTGCTCTGCAGATGATGGTGTATCTAGATTTTGGACTATCTTCAAATGCAGGCTGCGAGCCAGGAAGTATATCTGCATGAAGACCAAAAAAGAATGTCTGAACATTTCTGCTGTGGCAGAACACAGTTCATTTGTGTCATGGAAAGGACATTCATGCTTTCTAATTGTCATTTGGAGGCAGCTCTTCTCCCTGCCACTGTCGTTTCAATTTCTCTCGGTGTTTGCACATTTATCTGTGAATGGGTGGTTTAGGAATCCCCTGTGGGTTTTGTGGGCACCCAGGAATCTACTTCCACTACACACAAAGCCCTGGTCTACGCGTCAAATTTAGATTGACCTAGCTGTAGTTAAGCCAACCTAACCACTGGGTAGCTACCGCCGCTTAGGGAGCTGGGTTACCTACAATGACGGAAAAACCTCTTCCGTCAATTTAGGAAGTGTCGATATTACGGCACTACAGTTGGCATAGCTGCAGCTGTGCCACTCATAGTGTCGACATACCCAAAGAAATGGCCTGTGGATTTTGCCACTCTCAAAGTGAGGGCGTCCAGTCTGCAACTGCACCGCAGAAGGATACCTCATCCCAACTGCATACTGCAACTTTCTTTGATGGCTGGGTGCATCTAGTCATGCAGGGAAGAGGGGCCTGCATCTTATAAGGCTTAGAACTGCAGAGGGAAAATAAATTGAATTAAGGATGATATTTGACACCACAGGATGTACCATTATTCTCAGAGTTCACAAACAGATCTCCTTAAAGCTTAGACATGTGACCCATTTTAAACAGGGACCAACAAAGTCTAGGGATTAATATTTTTTCTCACTGCTGGTGGTCTTGGTAATTGCACAGATGTAGCAGATTGTAAATTGGAGACTTTAGTCTCCCGCTAACACACTGCTGGGTAGTCATGACCCCTCCCCACTTTAGTTAAAATCATGGCTGAACGTTAATGAAAAGCTAAAATAGGGCAAAGTTGTTTTTTGGCAATGCTCTCCCTGATAAAGAGCGACTTAGAAAACTAATTCAGCACAGATGTGCACAAACTGAAACTTCATCCTGAACAAACAACTCTTAAAGGTACTAATCTCCTTTTCTGACTTGTGTCTCCAGCAAATAATTTGCATGTGGTATATAGAGAATTTCCCAGTGTGAAATGCTGGAAACATTTAACATAGTCACTACAAAGAAACAAATATCAAATTTTTCTCTCTAGTCTCTTCTACAATCTTTCTGATCAAGTGTAAGTTTTATATGCAATTATCATCAATTATCGGTTGCCCCAGTAATTACACTTTCAGGGTCTTTCTAATCAGTTTTGTCTCCAATGTATTGTTTTTCTGTGTCTTGCCAAATGGGAGCACTTAACATTGAAATATAAAGTATCTGACTATCCACATTTGTATTCTTATAAATTAGCTGATCTAGAAAACTTGTTGGTTTTTTTCGAAAGCTCTCAAGATCCGACAGTACATGGAGTTGGATACGAACAACAGTATTATCCATAAGGGGGCTCAGGAAATGGAGTAAAGAACCTTTTACCTCCAGGGTATGGCTTCAAATCCAAGCGTAGCTGGAAGTGATTGCCAGTTGTTACCACCTGTTCAGTGGCCTATGTGAAATGGGTTTGTGGCCTCACTCAAGATCAGCAGGTGCAATTCATCCCTGTGCAGAAAACCACCACAAAGCTTGTGCACCACAGACGGCCCTCTTTGAGGACATCAGTGATGCATAAGCCTTGTGCTGTCCTCCGCACAGGTTGAATTTCAGTCCTAGTGAGCAATGCCCCTCCCTTGTTAGCATTCGGAACAGAGAGACCAAGAACTGAATGGACATGATCATTCTCTCCCTTATACAGGGAATCCCTCCACAACTGGCTTTTAATGGTTACTGGCTGGTCAGTGTGGAGAATCTTGTATTATCACAGCTTATGCAAAGCCTCGTCTATGGCTAAAAAGAGGCCTTTAGTCTCCATGAGGGTCAAATATTTTCCACAAGTGAAAGCACAGAGGTTAGGGATCTATTACAGGAGTGGGTGGATGAGGTTCAGTGGCCTGCAATGTGCAGGAGGTCAGACTAGATCAGCGGTTCTCAAACTTCATTGCACCGTGACCCCCTTCTGACAACAAAAAATTACTACACGACCCCAGGAGGGGGGAACCGAAGACCGAGCCCACCCAAGCTCCATCGCCCCAGGCGGGGGAGGGGAGGGCCAAAGCTGAAGCCCAAGGGTTTCTGCCCTGGGTGGGGGCATGTAACCTTAGCCCTGGTTGGTGGGGCTTGGGCTTGAGCCCTGGGTGGTGGGGCTTGGGCTTCAGACTTGTGGGGGCCCAGGGCCAATACCAGCCTTGGCGACCCCATTAAAATGGGGTTGCGACCCACAGTTTGAGAATCCCTGGACTAAATGATCATGATGGTCCCTTCTGACCTTGAAGTCTGTGAGTCTATGAACATTTAGTAGAGGTCTGAGAGCAAAAATCTTAGGGGCAATTAGTATCTCAAGGGTCTTATGCATGTGTAACGCCAAAGGCAGTCTTTGCCTCCAAATCCGTAAATATGTAGGCACTGAACACAAATGCATATCCTCCTATGTCCTGACAGAAGCATAAGTCTTCACTTCTAAAGTTTACTTAGCAAGAACTCTGGCAGTCTTCAAGACACATAAAACACAACCTGGACCTTTTGCTCTGGCCTGAAGATTCTGCCGGTGCCAGTATTTAAAGCTGGGAGTTGGGAACATGAAATTTTTTTGTTTTATTTATTGTCCTAAATTGCTCTTATCTACAGTCATGTCTTTGAAAAGCAAACATTTCAAATGAAAGAAGAGATATTGGTGCTTTGTGGATTTGCAAGGAATTCATATTATACTACAAAAATTCTGGTATCTGGGTTACATCTGAAAAAGAGGTCAGCATGACTTGAATTTTCCATATATTCTGCCATAGCAAGAAATCTGTTTCTTAAATCACTTGTTAGCCATTTGTATCACTCAGCAACAAATAACTGAGCTTTTGTATTTTCCTTACCAATTTACTTTTGTCATGAGTGAAGTGAAACCTATGTAGAAAACATCCATTTCTTTCAGGGAAACTTTTTTTCTTTTTAATTGACCTGCCATTTCATGTTAGGAACTTGATGGATTAAATAGCCAGCTGATTATGTTTCCAATTTCAGTTCCAACTCTTGCATTTGCCACTGGCTCACTACTGATCAGAAGCAGATTCTGCATGGAGCCGACATGACGGTATGTCAGGCAGTAATGTGAAAATGAGGTTTTTTTCATTTTATTTTATGGCTTTTCCATACTTGGGGGTATGGAATTTTACCTGCAGGGTAAAAATTTCTTCTTGTTTATAGATTTTTTTTTCACTTTCACTTTTAGAATGAGAGACAGAGAATTATTGGGACTGTTTGCCCATGGCTCTATGAATAAACTGACTGGCAAACGATGTTGCGATCAATGAAACCTGAAACCTGGCTTCATTTCAATTCTGCTTGGGGGAGAGGAGAAACTAACAGATAATTATCTTGAAAATGGAATAACCCAAGCCAAAGGATGACTTTGAAAAGAAATCAGCCATCTGTTTGGTAGACACAACACAATGAGTCATATGCTATCCTCAACCCTATACATACATGACTCCCATTGACAGGAGAGAGAGTTCCATTGGGGATCGCTTCCTATCTTTGCACTGACTATAATGTAGCTTTAATCACTGCTGAAAGGATCAGACAGTAACACTGAAATACGTTTGAAATATTTCCCCGAGGGAAAAATTTATAGGATGAAATTCACCCCAGTGCACAGATTCTGCACAGGACCCCTCTGTACAGCTTAAGCCTTGAGTTGGTACTCTGTGCAAGCTAAGCTCTCTCCCTATGGCCCTGCAAAGACTAGTGGGGGTAAGGCAGTGATTGGGCCAAATCAGAGGGAGGGATCCACATTCATCTGAAAGTGGCATAAAGAGGCTGTGACTGCTATTGTATCCCACAGGCTTGCATAGCAGCTACAGAGAGCCTTTCAGAGTAGCAGCCGTGTTAGTCTGTATTCGCAAAAAGAAAAGGAGAACTAGTGGCACCTTAGAGACTAACCAATTTATTTGAGCATAAGCCTGCTTGAGAGAACCTGCGCATCAGTTCCTCATGCTGCTCCCGTTGGGAAGTGGATTTCACATATACAACTCTCTCCCTGCCAATTCTTCCCCACAGCCCCCAACAACGCCCCCTACACACACCACGTGCACTTCATCCATGCAATAACAAACACCTCTGGCTTTATTCATGTGAAGTGAATGCTACCCAGAATGCATGAACCTTCTAATTAAACAGACAATATCACGATTCTGATTAATTTACCGCTATAGCTTCTGATGAAGTAAAAGGAAAGGAAAACTCATGTGCACAATTTACTATTTGAACCACCAGTGTAAGTATGAACGAACAGTATAAAGCTTAGATGTGCTAAAGATATGGGGCGTTACAGTGCTTGTAGGACAAAGAATGAAAGCTAGGGGGAAATAGGAGCTTAAAGTCATTTCTTTCTGTCCCTTAACCCAATGGTTCTCAACCAGGTGTCCGAGGTCTCCTCGGGGGGCCGCAAGCAGGTTTCAGGGGGGCCGCCAAGCAGGCCGGCATTAGACTTGCTGGGGCCCAGGATAGAAAGCCATAGCCCAACCGCATGAGGCTGAAGCCCAGGGCCGTAAGCCCCGCCACCGGGGGCTGAAGCTAAAGCCTGAGCAATGTAGCTACGCAACAGCCCCTGTGGTGTGGGGCCCCAGGCCATTGCCCTGCTTGCTACGACGCCAGCCCTGGCTTTTATAGGCTGAAAACCAGTTGTTGTGGCACAGGTGGGCTGTGAAGCTTTTACAGCGGGCGGGGGGGCGGCTCAGAAAGGAAAAGGTTGAGAATCCCTGCCTTAACCTGCCTACCCACAATACAGTTCCTTTAGCTGACAGAACTAAGAAAAGGACTGTTATGAAAGTGATCCTTAAGGAAAAAACTAAATTATGCTAAAAGAAAAGGAGTACTTGTGGCACCTTAGAGACTAACCAATTTATTTGCTCCAATAAATTGGTTAGTCTCTAAGGTGCCACAAGTACTCCTTTTCTTTTTGCGAATACAGACTAACACGGCTGTTACTCTGAAACCTAAATTATGCTAGAAACTTAGGTTCTTCTCATACAGAAATGCTGGGGGCGGGAGGGCATGGCAATGGTATCTTGATATAAATGCTTAAACAAAAATGAAGGGGTCAGAACCTTGCATGTGAACGAGCGACGGGCGGTGCTAGACCTGTGGGGAGGGGGAGGAAGGTGGTTTAAAACCACCTTTGCACTCTCCCAGTCGTGGGAGCTTGGGTCTGGCACCCATCATACGTTAGAGCAGACTGCAGGCTGCTTTCACTTATTGTGGCCACTAACACCTGTCTGGGGCCATTATGCAGCTGGGGAATGTCAGAGTGCAAATTCTGTCCACACCCCTCTCCATCAGGCTGGGATGGGGTGGAGCAGGTGGTGCAGAGCCGGGGGTGTGTCACCAATGGATGCCCCCGCATCAAAGGAATCCCCAGATATTCTTTTGCACCGCAGGAGTGGAGCCAAGGGACTGGAACAGGGGCAAGGATCTGCCACCTCCAAAGGTGTTATTTTGTTTTTAAATAACAAACTGCACTTCATTTCAGCTTTTCATGATGGCACTACAGATACCTGTCAAATTTTAGTAGAGCACTGTGACTTGAGTGTAATGAGGCCTCCTGTTACATGGTTAGCCCAAAGTGTTTTTAGTAAATAGCTGACAAATGTACTGGTGTAAGGCACCTCAACTCACCCGACTCTTCCAGGGCTGGATTTGCTGAAACTTAAAGCAAATATGTTCACACACAACATAATCCCTCCACACAGTAGTGGGAAATTTGATAGGAAAAAAAAATATCAAAAGTAATTAGAAAGGCGACACAAGTAAGATCACAGCTGCCCTTTAATATATGTCTAGTTTATTATTTATTAAAGCCTAATACTGCCTCCAAAACTTTTCCATGCAGCAGTTGGCTGAAAAGGCACCACCTCTTTTTAAAAACTGCATGAAATGCGGAATATGTAAATACCACAGCAATCACTCAAATGTGGACACAACATGCCAAATCCTTATTGGCACCAAATCCTTTAGCTCGTAAGGAACATGCTCCCTGAAACGTGAACTCTATCTTATATTGCAAAGTTTGCAGGACGTGCCCAAATAGTTTGACTTGTTTACTTGCTTCAGAAATAATCTTACTCTTCCTGCTGTAAATTTTCATTTGCACATCGCTGCAGATTGTTGTGCGTGTTGTGGAAGATGATTGAAATTTATGCCTCATATTCACAGTAAAGGCACACCAGTAGGATGATGCTTCCCTATGCTGATAATCTGATATGGAAAGGGCTTCTTCCATTGGGACAGTAGGCCAGTCTCATCAGTCCCCATCCATTTCCATTTAAAAGTCAACAGAAAAGCTCCCTGGTTTCAATAGGTGCTGGAGCAGACCATAGGCCTTTTCGTTTATCTACTTCAACTGTCAGCATACAGGTCTGTGCTCATTACTATAGCTGTATTTGAAATGGGGAGCTCTTCTGCCACAAACTAAGCAAATCAACCCCCAGCTACCCACCAAATTATTAACTGGCTAATTTCACCACGGACACGAGACTGTCTTTGGATGGTAATGAGTTTCAGTCACTAACCTGGACTGATTTTGAACAACTGACCCCAGACGTGAAAGGCTTCATAGCCTATTACCAACACCATCTTGTCTTTGTTGCTGTTGCAGTAGATTTTTTAACTTGTTCCAGGCACAGTCCTAACTCCCAATCCCTATAAATTAATTGCTGAGCAGAGATTTTCTAATAGTCTTTTTGCGTTGATTGACACGCTGTCTGGGAGTGTCAATAGGGCCCTGTCAGCATTACCTGCTTAGGGGACAACACAAACATACCGTCCTGTCAGAGAGGGGCAGAAGAGCGTGACCGATTTTACTTACAGCAAGGATGGCAATGAGAATCCCTGCAGCACACAGCACAGCGTCGTTAATCGTCTCGCCCGTTTTCAAAGGGTACTTGATACTCTCGTCGTTGCAGTAAAACCCCCTTTGGTACGGCTGGATTGTGCTAGTTTCAATGATCAGAAAGGGCAGACCGGCTGGGGGAGAGAAAAGACAAACAATAGAGAACAACACAAAAGAAAAACATCAGTAACTTGGACAAATACGAACAAAAAGCAACAAAGAGCCCTCCCCAATTCACCACCCCTTTGATGAGGCTTTTCTTTTTTTTCCTAATAAGTTTCCAAAGTGCACAGTGTTGGGAACTGTTTTATTAAGTTTCTCCTGGGGGAAAGTACCTATTCTGCTGTGGTTATCAGATGTAAATGCTGCACGCTCCTAGTGAAGCCTTGCACACTGCAAATATTAACTTACAGAAATGAATGCCAACAGCATCCCCGCTGCAAGAAATCATGGAAAAAAATATGACAGTATTCCGCACAGAGCGCCTGGAACTCCTTGCCAGAGGGTGTTGTAAAGGCCAATACTATAACGGAGTTCAAAAGGGAGCTAGATAGATTCATGGAAGATAGGTCCATCAATGGCTATTAGGCAGGATGGGCAGGAATGGTGTCCCTAGCCTCTGTTTGCCAGAAGCTGGGATTGGGTGACAGGGCATGGATCACTTGATGATAACCTGTCTGTTCATTCCCTTTGGGGCACCTGCCATTGGCCACTGTCAGAGGACAGGATACCGGGCTTGATGGACCTTTGGTCTGACCCAGTATGGCCGTTCTTATGTTACTATGTACTGTGACCAGAGCACCAAAATGTCTCTCTGAAATGACGTGATGGAAGCTGAGTTCAGCAGGACTGTAGGAGGAGTTACTGAATAAACCAACAGCAAACTATCAACTATCAGGTCATGCTTTTCCTGCCATATTGAACCAGGCCAAGCCCCATCTACACAGGCTTCGATACAGTGTTTAAAAACAAAACAAAACTGCATTTCCATGGTTAATATACCTCTGTGTCTTAAAGGGGTTCCACCACAGTTTGCCTCACCAATGTGGACAAAGGATATAAACATCGTGAGAGCAACCTTTCTTTGAACACTTTTTGCATGCTGTTCAAACACAGCATCTATCCAACCATCCACAATAGCTGGTGAGACCACATCGGATCCTATTGGGCGCGACCATGAGAAATATGTTTTAAAAACAGTTTTAAAGACCTTAATTTCCACACTGTAGCTGGAACTTCAAACCAGACGTACAATATATGGTCACAGACCAATATAAACTGGTTATGGTACAAGATAATAAAACTTAGATTTGTTGCACTGGTATAATTCAATAATAAGCAATAATAATGCTATTTCAGAGGAATGTAGCTTTGTCTAGAAGTTAGAGTAGAGGATTGGGAATCTTTCCCAGTTCTGTTGCTGATCCTGGATGAGTATGGGCAGGCCACTTAAGTCGTCTATGTGCCTTGGTTTCACCAAGTGTTTTGCTGTTGACTTCAATAACAGGAGGATCAGTACATTTGATCCAAAAGCTCTTTGTAACCCTTTCAAAGTGATTTACAACTACACATATAGGAAAATCTTCTTCCGTCTCTGAAATGATACCCCACTGAGGTGAAGCAAAAAACAATTTAAGAATGCAGCAACACTACTCAACAGTTTGGGACATGATGCAAAGAGCAACAAAAAACAATGTTTGACTGAAACTACAGAGGATAGCATTTAGGTAATGTAGTTATCCAAGTTGGCATTTGGCTAAAACACCAAGACTGTGCGCCCTACTGTTGCAAAAAGTGTCATGGAATATTTATTGACCACTAACTGGGTTAAATGTCTGAGTTCTTATTTACACTCCTACAACTTTAAAATTATCAGATTTTTTCTCTTAAATTAAGAAATGTTGCTTCTTGGTTTTCACATGATTTGCCTAGAGCAGTTTTACTGCTGTCATAGACAGCTATCCTGTAATTAGTGAAGGATTTTGTCCAGAAAGGTAAAATCAAAGGCTCATTTTAAAAATGTTTTCAATTTGTGTGTAAACAAGTTAAGCTGCTTACATTTTTGTAATCCGTTTTGGAGTTCCTTCATTCTGTTTTAACAGCTTTTTCTAATCCACAAATTATTACTTTTTGCTGATTGCCTTAAATAAATGATTCACAATGTGAAATGTATAACTGTACTCTGAAAAAGATCACACACACACACACACAGAGCTGAATTCTGTTCTCAGTTTCTCAAATATAGCCGAGACCACAATTTGGCACAATGTTCTGGGTTATTGTGTGTGTGATTTTCTATAAGAATATAAGGAGCTGGTAATATTAAACACACAGACTGCCTGCACTGGGCTGTCTGTTTTCGAAGACACTAATGAAATAGTGAATAAATGTCTCAGAACTATTCCTCTTGTCAACTCATCTCAGGCTTTGCAAATAAAATTGGACATCTCATGTGGATCCAGCTCATCTTCATTCCACTCTCCAAGAGTTTTGAAACCTAGCCAGTTTGGCTCTGAAAGGTATCTCTTAAGCCGGCAATATGATATTAATAACCTTCTTTAAAGATCCAGAGTATCCTGATGAAAAACTGCACCCAAAAAGCTAACGCTGTTTGGTGTGATCCAGTTTCACCACCACTTGAAACAGCAGCATAACAGTTGAACTTGGGGAGTAGACATACCACAGTTACATGGCTTATTGTTATTTCTCCAGTTCTTCTTTTTAATAGCTTTCACATGACAGGTCTGTAAAACACATGTTCCCACAGACAATGAAACACATCTGAAAGCTAAGAAAGAAAGAAAGAAAGAAAGAAAGAAAGAACAATAGTGTTTCTGTGTACTATATGAACCCAGGAATAATAAAGATTTGTTTTCCCTTCATTCATTGAACAGCATGAGGCTGTAGTATTTCTGTGTGTTCAATCATATGTTTGACTGCCACAGCTATAATAAGAGCATAAGTGGCATACATTGTGTATATTTTCTTAAAATGCGCATAGACATAGTTTAGAAAAATCCAATGGTTTTGTTTTCTCTCCTACAAACTTGTGGTTTAGTGGGATATTGCCAATAGAGTCTTGACATTTTTCCAGCAAACAGTAACCTCAGATTCCCTTCTTTTCTTTTTTCTTTTTTTTCTCTTTTTTTACAAGAGAAGCATAAACATACCCTCAATAGCTGAACGGATATTGCTTAGAAGACATAATATACCCTAGACTGTGGGCTAGAGGCTGTTCTTTCAAAGGTTATTATCCAAGTGACAGAAGGCATCACTCTTGTAATAAAGAATGTGCTGCCAGATACCCGGCTAAAGATGGCCCTTCTTTGAAAAGATTATCTCTCTGAGCACAGATTGTCTAAGTGACTGTCACCACTCACACTTTCAGGCACTCTCACGCTTTCTGGCAATGATTAGCACTGAGACTGCAACATGGGGAAGCCTGTACTAGTACCAGAAGCTATTTGGAGAAAGGATTTTGCAGAAGATGCTATGAATGAAAAAGAACTCAGTAAAGGAACAAAAGGAAAGGTCCCTTCAGGGTTCCTTACAGAGATGTTCCTGATTCCGCTTTCATTTACACTGGAATATTCACCAGAGAGTTAAAGACTTCCAGATTAGAGAGGCTGCAATTGTCTATCAGAAAGACAAGGTAAGAGTCATGGACGGTGACAAACAATGGAGTTAAATCAATGAAGTTACAGCAGGAGAGAAAAGTTTGGCCCCATCACTTTTCCTGTACTAGTGCCATAAGGAGAATAAAAAGGCAAGTCCAATTTTCATCTGTGGCATCTTAATAAGACATTTTGCCTTTTGGATGCTCATATTGACACTTTCCCATAAACGTACATACTGTGCCCTTACCAACTGATTTGTGTGTCCAAATTCAAGATTTGGACAACATTTTAAGGCACCCAACTTTTAAAAGCTACCATCCCCCATGATCCCTTAACATCACTAGAAGACAATGGCAGGAGCCCTCAGAATGTTTAAAAAGTAATGGCAGTCAAAGAGGCAGCCCCTAGAAAGGAGGGACAGGTGGTAAGTCCATACCAAGGTGATCGGTTGATCCATGTAGTAGGCAATAGATTGTACCAATGGAATGGTCACTCCATCCTAAAATGATCTCTGGTAGCAATTTATCCTGGTGCTTCTGTCCATGGCTCATGTTCATCTATGCCAGAGATCCCCAAAGTGAGGGGCGTCCCTCTCGGGACGGGGGGGCATGGCATGGCCAGGGCATGGCAGGGCCAAGCAGGCCCCCAAAATGGCAGGGAGGGAACGCCATCCAGCCCCTCTCCACTCCAGTCCCACTCCCAGCCAAGTAACTGACTCCTGGCCCTGCGCCTGGCCCTGGCCCCAGCTTTGGCATGGCTCAGCTCAGCTCCTGGCACCACACCAGCCCCCAGCCTCTCACGCTGGCCGCGGTATGTTCCCGGGCCAGGGCCAAGGCTGGGGGCAAAGCCGGGAGCGGAGCTGCACGTGGCCACTGGCCCGGCTGCCAGCCCCAACCACAGCCCAGCTCCTGTCCCCACCTCCAGCCTCGGCCCCTGGCTGCGGCACTGCTCCTGGCCCCAGACCCACCCCGAGCTGCGGCCCCAGCCTCGGCCCCCTTACCCCTGGCCATGGGGGTGGGGGGCAGAGAGGAATAAGGAGGGGGTGAGACCTGTGCTTTCAGTTCTATGGGAAAGGTTGACATGAATAGACCTGTCCTCTAGTACCCCTACAGCGCAAAGGGATCACATCCTCTTTAGTACTGACAGTTCCCTTCTGGACACCTAGATAATGGCAGGCAGACTTTACTGTAATGCTTCAAGAACATACCATTTCCCTACTACTTGAGGGCAGTTCTACACTACTGGTTAAGTCGATCTGACTTATGTCGCTCAAGGGTATGAAAAAGCCTCCCACCACGCCCCCAGCGATGCAAGTTGGAGATGGAGTAATTATACCGACGGGAGAGCAGCCTCCCCTCGGCATAGAGCATCTTCACTAGACGCGCTACAGCGACGCTGTGTAGACGTAGCACTATTGGGGAGACCGTCCCTGAGGCATTCACATACAGATTTACCCTCACCAGACCCCTGTGAGGTAGGGAAGTGCTATTATCCCCATTTTACCTATAGGGAAACAG